AGGATCCTCCCAGGATGGGAGATGCATGTTGAGAGTAGACTCTAGACCGAACATGACTGCCATTCAATGCCTCTTTTGCAAACCACAGCACCCAAAAGGAGAGAGAGAACAAGGGGTAATTCCCTGCCCCAGTGGCAGGGTGGGATGGGGGAAACAGGAGGGCGTGGGAGGGATACTGGGATCAGTGGTGGTGGAGAATGGGCACTGGTGGAGGGACGGGTACTCGATCATTGTATAACTGAAACCCAAGCACAAAAATTTGTAAATCTACAACTGTATCTCATGGTGTTTTACTAATAAAAATCTAATTTTTTTTTACTTTTCCAAAATAAAGCAGATGTCCATGTCTCGATTTTGGATTGCTGTTTCACATTCTCTCTAGATTCACCTAAAATATCTCAATAAACTTTTCTGACTAAGAAGGAAAGAGATAGATAAAAGTGATCTCTCTCATATGTGCAGTTTAAAGATACACAGCAACAGCAACAAAGGTCCAAAGGCAACATAACAGGAGACCTGATGCATAAGGGCAAGTCTGGAGAGAGGGGGTTGGACTCTGTGGGAGGAGGAGCGGTCACACTGGTGATGGGTGCGGTGTTGGAATTATCTGCATGAGAAACCATTATTAACAGCGCTGTACACTACAGAATCTCAATTTAAAAATTTAAATAAGACTTTGCTGACTATTGTAAAAATAGACCAAAGTATAACTGTCTTCAAAAGTCTTAACAGAAAATGAGCAGAATTCATGTAATTAAAATCAATTCTGTTTCCATCAGCATTCAAGGAAAGTGTGCAGAGTAACTCTTTTACAGAGTACTTGTAGACTACTTAATCTTTCAGGAAGAAATGGTGTTTTGAGTTATACAGAATTAGTGATATTTGAAGTTACATGTCTGTGACCCAGACTTACCTAGTTATTCATTCAGAAACTCTGCACTTATATCCCTAATTTAATTTTTTATATGTATAACTAGGGCTGAAGCGAAAGCACAGTGGGTAGGGCATTTGCCTTGCATGCGGTGGACCCGGGTCTGATTTCTTTGTCCCTGTTGGAGAGCATGACAAGCTTCTGAGAGTATCCTGCCCACACAGAAGAGCCTGGCAAGGTCTCTGTGGCATATTAGATACACCAAAAACAGTAATAAGTCTCACAATGGAGACATTACTGGTGCCCGCTGGAGCAAATACATGAACTACAGGATGACAATGCTACAGAGCTATATATACATATATATGACTTATATTTCATAAAGTAATTATGACTTACAGCAAGTAAAGCACATGTTGTTTACATGGTTCCTGATCCACATCACCTTGTACACTAAAGCAAGTCATATGATATTATTTAAAAGTACTTGTTATCCAGGAATTACTCTAGCATGCTGGTCAACTAAGTGGGTCATATGTTTTTCTAGGTTTGGTAACTGCTTAGAACTAAGTAAGGTTAAGTTTGTTAGCTTCTATAAAAGGTAAATATCCTTTTGGGAATCCTCATAATCTGGATCACTTCTGCACATGCAACAACGCTGGCATTTGAATTCGTGGTTGTAGTTAAAAAATACAATAAGATATAACCTCTTCATGTGAGAATAGCTTATATTATTCTTTCCCAATAATAAGTGCTAATGGGAATTCAGAGAAAAGGGAATCTTCATTTACTGTTGGTAGAAACACAAACTGACTTAGCCTTAATGGAAAATAGTATGAGAAGTTTTAAATAAAATAATAAATTTAAAAATACAACTACTGGGGCTGGAGCGATAACACAGCGGATAGGACGTTTGCCTTGCATGTGGTTCAACCCAGGTTCAATTCCTCCGTCCCTCTCAGAGAACCCAGCAAGCTCCCGAGAGTATCCCACCCGCACAGCAGAGCCTGGAAAGCTCCCCGTGGCGTATTCGATATGCCAAAAACAGTAACAACAAGTCTCACAATGGAGAAGTTACTGGTGCCCACTCAAGCAAATTGATGAACAATGGTAGGACAGTGCTTCAGTGCTACAGAAGTAAAACACATTGGGCAGAGGAAAAAATTCATGGCTCTGTAAGGGCTACCACTGCATTTTTTTTTTTTTGCTTTTTGGGTCACCCGGCGATGCCCAGGGGTTACTCCTGGTGGTGCTCAGGGGACCATATGGGACCCTGGGAATTGAAGCCGGGTCAGCCACGTGCAAGGCAAACACCCTACCCGCTGTGCTACTGCTCTAGCCCCTACCACTGCATATTTTTTAAATTTTTTTTTATTAGTGAAACACCATGAGGTACAGTTGTAGATTTACAAATTTTTGTGCTTGGGTTTCAATTATACAATGATCAAATACCCATCCCTCCACCAGTGCCCATTTTCTACCACCATGGATCCCAGTATTCCTCCCACACCCATTCCCCCCCATCCCACCCTGCCTCTGTGGCAGGGCATTTCCTTTTGTTCTCTTTCTCCTTTTGGATGTTGTGGTCTGCAAAAGAGGCATTGACCACTGCATATTTTTGACATTTCCTTAAGAACTGAATATTGGGGCTGGAATGATAGCACAGCAGGTAGGGCTTTTGCCTTGCATGCAGCCGACCTGGGTTTGACTCCCAGCTTCACATATGGGGAGTAATTCCTGTGTGTAGATCCAGGAGAAATCCCTGAGCATTGCCGGGTGTGACCCAAAAAATACAAAAAAAGAAAAATGAAAAAAAAAGAAGCTGAATATTCTCTGGAGTTTTCTCAGTGGGGACAGGCAGGCTCCCCTTTTCCCTGTACTTTTGGAAGCCCAATAACCATGCCCACCTCATAGAGCCATAGCCACCACCATGTTGACTCATTCACAGGCCCTGCTCTTCAGATTCTTGAACTAAATCTCTGAGGAGATACAAGACAAGCACCTGAAATTCATAGACACACTGAATCCCCCATTGAAAACTCTGAGGTGCCCTTGGAGGGGGTACAGGGTTGGGGGAAGGTTGGAGGCCTAAGTCCCTGCCCTGAAAAAGCCCAGGCAGCCACACCCATACCCTACTGATGATGTCAAGCCAACTGCCTATGGCCTAAGTACACGCTTCACTAGGACTCTCTACAGATTCATTACATTTCTATAGATCCTGAAGTTTCTGGACTGTAGAATCACAAAACAACTAGGGAGCCTGCGACTCTCTCTCACTGTCTGTGTTTGGTGGTCTCAGGCTGCTTCCCCACCCCAGCCTGCAACCACTGCCAACAGATGCATGAAGAAGGTAACATGGCCGATAGGCTGGTTGATGATCAGTTGCCATTTATTCCACGGTTCCCATGCGTCTCTTCCAATCTCACTGCGTGTCCCATATCAGTCTCACACTGCCCCTCATTCCCATCTCTCCTGTTTCCCTTGCTAGTGTCTCTGAGCTCCATCTCACAGCATTGTCTCTCTTTGGTTCTCTCTACAACTCCAAACCTTGCTGGTAGGAACCACATCCCAGTCCAGTAGCACAAACAACATATGAAAACCCTTCTTCCACTCAAAGGCCAAATACCACTTAGGGGTGTTTCTCCTCTCCTTAGCCCAATAACTTAATTAACATCTTAATTATACTTCTTAATATTAGTTATTTAGATGGACACAGTAAGAGATACATTAAGCTTGTAGGGTGGCTCTCCTGGGAACATCTCACTATAGATCTCAAACTACAGGCCAGATTGATCTTTCCTAACCCTAACGGGGTCTTAATCTAGTTATTACTTTTTGAATCATGACAGAATATGTCCATGACCATGCTCTTAACTTATAGTTAAGTATTAAGGTGCTTTAGCCTGAGCCACTTTGATACCAGGTTAGCTCAGAGCTTGCCCTGAGTCCATCCAGTCCCTCGTCTGGACTCTGTTTTTGGGGTGCTATGAAGTAAGGGCATCAGAAAACAGATGTCCAGGAGTGAATGTCATTTGGAATCAATTAACTCCCAAGTTACAAAAGCATATCATTAACTGTGTCTATACAAAAAGAACATTGCTCTGAATTAACTATGCAAAGGACTTAAGGAGAAGAGAAAAGCAATATTTACAAGTTAACAGAGTCTGATTAAGAGATAAAGGTGATTGACCAGTTGGGGAAGCAGAGCACAAAGGAAGAGGTTACAAGTAAACACAGACAAATGGGAGTACTATGATGGGAGTAAGCAATTAACCTAAGCACTCTGTGGCAAGGCAGGAAGCACAAACCAATAGGAGCACACCAATTATATGAGAAAGTAACATAGAAGTCAACTACACTCAACCAACAAAAACATTAACACAGGTGTTGTTACATATGATTAGTGACAAAGAGCTTAGTAAAGTCTTAGTAAAGTCTTAACAACCCCATTGTGAGATATAACAATTTTCACAAATTTTATTTTGCTGAAATATTTTTGATAATTCCTTTAGTAATAGGGTTGGTACAAGAAATATAGAACAGATTACTGTGTACATGCTAAGGGGGAGTGCTTGAGGGCTAGTTGGTAAAATGGGGACAATGGTGAAGGGAAGGTCACTCAGGGGTGGGATTGGTATTGGAATATCAAAAGCCCATAACAACTTTATTACGAACTGCTTTGTAAATAATGATGTTTAAATAAATTTTTTTAAAAAGAAAATGAATACTTTTTCTACCTTCAATGGAGCGATAGCACAGCGGTAGGGCGTTTGCCTTACAAGTGGCCAACATGGCCGACTGGAGTTCGATTCCTCCACCCCTCTCGGAGAGCCCGGCAAGCTACTGAGAGTATCTCGCCTGCACAGCAGAGCCTGGCAAGCTACTCCTGACGTACTCAATATGCCAAACACAGTGACAACAAGTCTCATGACGGAGACGTTACTGGGCCCCCTCGAGCAAATCAATGAACAACGGGAGGACCATGATACCGTGATTTTCCCATAATACACTGGTTAATATTATTCTTTTAATTTACTGGATGATAAATGAGAGAAACAACCTGATAGATATTACATTATAAAGCATATAACTCAGTTACTAAAATGAACAGAAATACGTGAAATTGTACCTGAATACTTTCATGATCACTGGGGTGCAACAGAAAATGGACCTCTTGCAAAGTTGTCACTTGATTCTTGTTACTAAACTTGGCCACTTCCGAGAGGATTAACTCAGCAAAAATTCTTTTAGGAAAACCCAGATTTCCTGTTCCTATTGCCGGAAATGCAATTGATCTCAAGGACAAGCTCTCAGTGAGTTCCAAACATTCCTGGATTATCTCTTCCATGATCTGAAAAGCACAAAGCCCACCTTTATACAAATTGCCTACAAATGGGAGTCTGAACAAAAGGCAAAATAATTAATGCTACCTAGTCCTTTTCGTTTTCAGCAGATGTTAGAAGCCATCAGAAAGAGAAAGATAAAAGGTAAAAGAGAAGAATAATAGAAAACGATTATAGAAGAATAACATTTTAAAAAAATAAAAGAGAGAGAGAGACCCTCCAAAAAGACTGGAAATTATTTATCAGTGAAGGAAATAAACAAAACAATTACTGAAATACTGTCCTTATAACTTTGTCTTTTCATGCCCATATTTTGCTCTTCTCACTAAAGTTATATTGATCGAATACATATTCGTTAAGCCCCACTCATGGTAGTGCATTGAATCAAGTAGCTATTTAAATCAAAGTAGCTTAGTCCTAGAGATTGTATTAACTAATCTCCAAGAGGTGTCAGCGAAAGCTGCAAGAGGTTACCATAAATATGGAGCCTGCTAAGAATGTGACAGATTACAGTGGATAAACAGAGCCAGCATGCATTATATGAATAGAAAGTCCAAAGAGCCACCCAATTTCTGGAGACTACTAATCCCGGGCCCACCTTGTGTGCATTCGCGCTGTGATTTTTCCAACCTGGTGCCACCACATGGAGCACGAAACGGCAGGGAAGACTATAACCTTTGGTTGGAAGAACCGTGCCCACATCCACAGTCCTGGTTTTTTTGAGTCCATCCAAATCCTCTTGAATCTTTGGCCCAGCACTTTTCAAGATGGCTTGAGAAAGGGGCCCTCTGTTAAGTTCAAGAGTCAGGGGAATGGAGTTGACAATAACATCAGTCTTAAAGGAAAAAAGATCAACAATTATTTTCAAACACCAACAAAATACGTTCATCAAGAATTATTAGTACAAGGAAGGTAATGTAAGATAATTTAAGTTTTCAGATTCTAAAACACCAAATGACACAAAAATATTACTATATACTAATTTATGGAATAATAGAGAAATGTGGAAAAACAATATAAAAGTGGTATGTGATGGTTTAAAGACTTCCCAGGAAGTACCTTCAATGACTGGTAAAGACCAGGAGAAGTAGAGACTCAGAAATGAAAATAGTAGCAGTAGGCAGGAAGAGATAATGAAGTCATTTGGGAAGGAGACTTCATGATATTAGCATGACAGACTATGACCCTGAGCAGATTAATTTGACCTATAGAGACCTTTTCCAGGAAATGGGGCAAGAACAGTCAGCAGGTAACTGAAATTTTCATAGATGGTAAAAAGCCATGGAAACACAAACTTTAATATAGAAGCTTTTTTGCTCATCAGTATGAGCAAATTAATTAAGGAATTTAAGACTTTAAGGGGGTGGGTTAGTGAGCAGGGAGCTCTTCTTGCATAAGGCTAACCCAGGTTTGATCTCTAGCACCCAACATAATCACCCTAGCCCCAGTAGAATAATCCATGAGCATATACCTTGGGCATACACCTGAACAATGCAGAGTATGGCCAAAAGACAAAAACAAATGTCAATAAGAGTTAAAGGGAATGTGGTCAAGTGATTTTCAAAGCTGCTCTTGCACAGGTCACTAATGGGGAAACTACAACAGGTGTTGTAGCATCGTAATTTACACAACAATGGAGATAAAGGACTAAAAGAAATGCCTCACAGTTCAGGGTTCAAGAATGTTGAGGATCATGGATAGAGACACAATAGAGCAAGCAGCAACGTCAAAGAAGGAAATCACATACAAAGGAGCACCCGTTACATTCACAGCAGACCTATCAGAGGAAACCCTCCAAGCCCAAAGGCAAGGGTTGGATATACTGAAAAAACTCACTGAAATGAACGCTTCACCAAGAATACTCTATCCGGCTAAAATCTCACTCAAACTCGAGGGAAGGGCACACTATTTTCTAGATAAACAGCAGCTCAGGAACTTCATAGACTCAAAACCAAACCTAAAAGAAGGGCTAAAGGGGCTACTATAAGACAAGACAAACCCTAAAAGCACAACAGACCCTTACAGAAAGATGACACAAAACCCCATAACAATAATCTCTCTCAATGTCAATGGTCTAAATTCACCAATTAAGAGACACAGAGTGGCAAAGTGGATTCAGAGACAGAAACCAACATGCTGCTGCCTACAAGAAACTCATCTCAACAGTCAGAGCAAACACAGACTCAAACTTAAAGGTAGGAAAACAATCCTGCAAGCAAACAGCACCCTCAAAAAAGCTGGGGTGGCCATATTAGTATCCGACAACATCAATTTCAGGTTGAAAGAGATTAGAAGGGACAGCGAAGGCCATTTTCTGTTAATCAAGAAAAAAGTACAAAAGGAAGAAATCACACTCTTAAATGTATACGCACCTAATGAGGGAACAGCTAAATATTTAAAACAACTGCTAACAGATTTTAAGGAGGATATTGCTAGCAACAAAACAGTAGCTAGTGACTTCTATCACCTCTGGAGAGATCAGCAAGAACAAAACTCAGCAAGGAAACATTGGCTTTGAAGGAAGAAAGAGAAGAGAGAGAGCTTATAGACCTATAGAGGGCTTTACACTCCCCGCAAAAAAGAATACACATTCTTCTCCAGTGTCCACGGAACATTTTCCAAAATAGACCATGTGCTAGGACACAAAACATACATCAATAGAATCAGGAATATCAACAATCTTTTCAGACCACAATGCACTGAGAATAGAAGTGAATCACACACAGACACGAAGAACCAAATCAAAAAACTAGAAATTAAAGAACTCAACGTTGAACAATGAGTGGGTTAGGAAAGAAGTCAAGGACGAAATCAAAAGATACCTGAAAACAAATGAAAATGAAGACACGAGCTACCAAAACCTATGGGGTGCAGCTAAAGCCATGTTAAGGGGAAAACTTCTAGCTCTGCAAGCTTTTCTCAGGAAGGGCTTATATAAACAACTTGACTTCACAGCTCAATATCTTAGAAAAGAATCAACAAAAGGAGCCCAAATAAGGCAGAAGGAAAGAGATCATAAAACTTAGAGCAGAAATCAACGATATGGAAACCAAAAAAAAAAAAATGCAAAAGATCAATGAAACCAAGAGCTGGTTCTTCAAGAAAATAAACAAGATAGATAAACCGCTAGCAAGACTCAGACTACTTTGAAAGTTTGTATACTAAGAAAAAAGAGAACCTAGAAGAAATGGATAAATTTCTAGATTCCTATAATATCCCAAGGCTGAATCAAAAAGATCTAGACTGCCTGAATAGACCTATCAACATCAAGTAAATTGAAACTGTAATAAAAAGTCTTCCCCCCCAAAAAAATCCAGGTCCAGATTGATTCACTAGCAAATTTTTTCAAACATTTAAAGAGGACCTACAAACAGTTCTTCTAAAGCTTTTCCAGGAAATTGAAGAAACAGAAACTCTCCCAAAGAGTTTCTATGAAGCCCATATCTCCCTAATACCAAAAGGAAACAAAGACACCACAAGAAAAGAAAACTACAGGCCAATATCACTGATGAACACAGATGGGAAGATTCTCAACAAATTACTAGCAAATAGAATACAAGAACTCATCAAAAATATCATACACCATGACCAAGTGGGATTCATCCCGGGGATGCGAGGATGGTTTAACATTCAGAAATCAATCAACATAATCCATCATATCAACAAAAGAAAAGGTAAAATCTATATAATCATATTAATAGATGGACAGAAAGCATTTGACAAGATCCAGCACCCGTTTATGATGAAAATAATCGCCAAAATGGGTATAGAGAAGACTTTCCTCAATATAGTTAAAGCCATCTACCACAATCCTACAGCAAGCATCATCCTCAATGGGAAAAAACAGAGACCCTTCCCTCTAAGATAAGGGACGAAACAAGGATGCTCACTCTCTCCACTGCTGTTCAATATAGTACTGCAAGTACTTGTAATAGTGGTTAAGCAACAAAAAGATATTAGGGCATTCAGGTAGGAAAGGAAGAAATCAAGCTTTTACTATTTGCAGATAATATGACACTATACTTTGAGAACCCTAAAACCTCTACCAAGAAACTCCTAGAAACAATAGACTTGTATGAAAAAGGTGCAGGCTATAAAATCAATATCCAAAAGTCCTGCCGCACCCCTCTCTTGACATCAACGATCACTTCTTTGTAGAATGGTGAGATCCTGGTAGTGAATCCGCAATACAGCTCACGGAGGATCCTGATGTATTGGGCTTGAATGCCCTGATTGGCTAGGGCTTCAATGACCCCTTCCGTCTCAAGAGAATCAAAGGTCTTCTTTAAATCAATGAACGTTAAACAGAGCAGCATCTTGAACTCCCGAGAAACCTCAATGAGCTTGGTTATCGTGTGGATATGATCGATGGTGTTGAATCCTTTGCAGAACCCGGCTTGCTCGCATGGTTGTCCTTCATCTAGTGTTCTGTAAATCCTATTTAGGATGACTCGAGTGAACAACTTGTAGATGACAGACAATAGGCAGATCGGGCGCTAGTTGCCAATGTCATGGATGTCTCCCTTCTTGAACAGTAGTACGATCCTGCTGGTTTTCCATTGGGACGGAACCTTGCATTCAGACAGGTAGCGAGTGAAGAGCCGAGCCAGTGTATTGATGAGTACTGACGGCAGGTTCTTCAGGTGTTCAGGTCTGACCTTGTCTGGGCCGGGTGCTGTTTGCTTCTTTACCGACGAAATGGCGTGTCGGATTTCAGAAGGGAGAACGTTGGGAACGACATATCCATCCTGTGGAATTTGGTATGTCGGCAAGTGGACATGGCTATCGAAGAGATTTGAGTAGAAGTCATGGATAATCTTCTCCATTGCCGTTCTGGAGGATGTGATGGATCCATCAGGACGTCGGAGGGCAGTCATCTTGGTCTTATAGTTGGCGAAGGACAGGCGGGTGTTACGAATACTTTTCCCGGCTTCTGCCACATCTACCAGTACTTCTGCTCTTCTCTCTTTGACGTCTTCCTTGATCGCATCTCTGCACTGTTTTGCGAGCTCGGACGTTAGCTTGCGGTTGCCTGAGGCATGCGCCAAACCACGCTGGCGAATTAGATCAAGAGTTTTCGAAGATAGGCGACTTTTTGTGGCTATCTCTCTCTTGGCGTTCCTCGCACATTCATGGAGGTGCTGAACCAGTCGATCGTATTCCTCGTCAATGTTGTCAACAATGGCATCTTCCCATGTTGCCACAATAGTACCAAAGAGTTCCCAGTTGGTGGTCATTCTGGGAGTTCTCTTTTTGAACTTTGCAGCCCTTTCTCCCCGCTCTGTGAAGTAGAATTTTGCACGAAGGAGACGGTGGTCCGATCCCGTTCGAAATTTTGAGACAACAGCGACATCAGTCAGGCAAAACCGTCGATTGAATATGATGTGGTCTATTTCGTTGTGGAATCGTCCACCGGGAGACTCCCATGTCCATCGTTTAGATTCAGTGCCATCCTCGAGAACATCATGCGACGACTGGAATGGGAAGGAATGGGAGTGAAGATAGATGGTCGGCAACTACACCACCTCCGCTTTGCTGATGACATTGTTTTAATAACACCAAACATCAACCAAGTGGCACAAATGCTGGCCGACTTTGACCGTGAGTGTGGAAAGGTAGGACTACAGCTGAATCTTACGAAGACAATGTTTATGAGAAACAGCCTTGTTCCTGACGCCCCATTCGCTCTCAATGGAACGACCATCTCCGAATGCAACAGCTATGCATACCTAGGTCGAGAGGTCAACATGACAAATGGCCTGGCACCCGAGCTGCACAGGAGGAAGAGAGCGGCTTGGAACACCTTCAAGAACGTCGAAGAAATAGCTAAGAGGA